AAATGCAATCTGTGGAAAAATACATACATATATAGTGCAAACTTTAAAGAGTAAACTTTCAGTACGTCTTTCGTACAGTTCGTTCACATATGCAGTTCGTTGACACTTGATTCATTATTGTATATCCAAATAATTATTACAAAAAGATAAAAAGACTATTAATCTGTATTCTCTTTAAGTAACAATGAAAATCTGATTTGTTGTAAACTATCTCTTATAATTACATTTATTTGTCTTGGCAAATAAAATAAATATTTTCAGCATGCTCTATATATCTTAATTATTTAATGTCTTGATTCTCAAATCTTAAAAAGACAATATCAGAAACAGGCAAAGGCATGAATTCGATCTTGAAGTAAAATACTTTTTAAAAACACGATATTTTAAGAGATCCAACAACACGCAACATTACGTTAAAATATAGTAAAAGATTGGAGGAATGTTATTACATACTAACATGTATGCATTCTTAACCCTGCTCTTTCCCTTTCTGTCTCTCTTGCGCGCGATTTCTAGCTCTCCCTCTCTTTCGCATCTTCTTTGTTTCTTTACTAGTATCCTACCTTTATTATCAAAAAGATTTAAAATTGATTGCTAGATACTTATTTATACCTATACTATCCTCCTTCCATAGATTGTTTTTGAGTATACAATAAATTGTTTCTAAAAAAGGAAACATGTTTTCTTCGGCAGCTCTGATTTATCTTTTCTGTTTCTTATGTCTGTTTGAGAATGTTCGATTATAATCAATGTGTTGGGCCTGGCACTAGGAGCTTGCATTCCTAGTGATACTTTGAACAACACGTTGTCCCCACCAGGCTTCAAGGTTGAATGGTTCAAAATCTGTAAATGAAAAAGAAATAGATGATTCGGATGTAATAAGTTTTCAAGAATAAATATAATCTAATTATTATGTACCTTTTAATTGTGGATTAGGTTCTCGCTCTTGATAATATGTAACAGATGCACCATTTCTGTAATTAGAAGAATTACTATGTGGTTGATTGTGACACATATCTAGCTCTCTGGATACTGTATTCCATGCTGTAACAATAAAATTTCAGTATAAAAATTATGCTGCTTAATTTAATAATTTAATTTAATTGTATATTTAATATAATAATATATAATATACTTTACATACAATCATAGATGTATTTAATTAGATCAAAATGTTGAGCTATAGTTTCAGATTGATGTCGCGATGGGATCGAGGACGGTCTCTTTCCATTCATCGCTGCCATTTGTGATCTTCCGCTAAAATCAAAATATTCCACTTTAATCGTAGACATTGAAAAATTCAAAAGAAACAAAACTAAAATGCCGAAAATTCGTTCGTCGCAGTAAGAATGCCGCGATATAACTACGTTACATCAATATAGTTCATCGAATCTATTTTAAGATCTTACGATTTAATAATCTCACATTAAAAATTAAAATAAACTTATCTATGCAATATTTAAAAAAGAATGTGATCACATTCAATGAAATTTTTTAAATTATGGAAGGTTCAAAAATGCGCAAGAAATAGGACATAGATAAAACAAAAATATTTATTAGAATTCATTGACATAATTATGCCTAGAGTCTGTACAGTCGAAGAGAATAGCAGCCATCTTATTAAAACGGGGTAGAAAATATAACCTTTAATTTCGAACAATAATATTACATATAGTATTATATGACATATACATGTTAAAATAAACATGTACCAACATTCTTGAAACAGGGTTATAGAAAAAGGAAGTCCCTAAAACTAGGTTAACTAACAGAAGTCAATCTAATTGTACTATGCAAGGGACTCTATCTATCTTGTCAGTAGCCACGTATATGTATTTCAAATTCCTAACTGACAATATCTTATGAGGGACATGTTTTTACTGAAACACCAACAAAATATGATATAAAACATTATTACAGGAAATTTAAAATGCAATAAAAATCGTAAAATAATTTGCATATCTAACAAGAGCAAAACAATTATTAATATGAAGGCTACTTCAAAGAGAAACAGCCAGTGGAAAAGATGGCGGTTTGTTCATGACAGTAACTGCAGTAGTATCTGATTCCCGCCTCTTTCTCCTTCTATCCATCTAATACTGTTGCTTTTGTAATTCTCACGGAAACTAGACGATTGGCAATTTGCCAAAAAAGAGCATCAATCGACTTACGTCGTAAACATTTCGTGCAGAACGATTCACGCAAAACGACAATGCAGAGACGCGGGAACGAAGAAAGTAATATTCATAGAAAAATACCTCATTTTATCCGTTCTACGATGACCTCCTTTAACAGCAACACGCCGTAAGGATTGCAGCTTCACGTTACAATTATCCACTCACTTTCTACAACCGCGTGCGAAATTAATATTTATGAAAATAAAAAGTCACGACGCTCTGACAAGAACAAGCGTTTGTTTCTTGCAACAGCTGCAGGAAGCTTTCTTCGACGAGAACTGTCAACAATAATCGCTTGAATACAATACTCGAACGATAAAGTAGAAAATTAGTGACGATGTATCACACATAGCGATGCAGACGACGCATACCGGAAGCGATACAGAGTTGTAGATGGTCAAAGATAGATGGCAGCACGAGTCCTTTTAATTGCTTTTTACCACCGACGAAGGACAGGATAGACTGGTGTCTTATGCCACTTTGTGTTCAATGGTCTCAAGTACCAATTGTGTAGAAAAAGTGAACATTTTATTATGCCTTTTACAGATTAGAACGGTATATTCGATCCAAAGATTGAACTTGGTAAAATTTGCAGACGTAAATAGTTAAGAATACATTTTTATACTTTTAATAAACATAATAAGATCAAACCTGATCGTATTAAACAAATTTTTCGTCAAATATAACGTTGTAATGATATTTACAATTGTCCTACTATTCTACTCTGTACATCAAGGGTGTCAAACTTCCTCCTTTTAAACCAGTGACTCTCGATCTGCGATTCCCCTACTACCCCTACTCTAGCAGTTGTCCGAGACTGTGTGCGTGATCAGTTTTATGTAATATTCAATATAACAGGTGAAAGTAGGTATAGAGAGGGTAACTCTCCGTGAAGGGAAAAGCCCTAGAAAGCTCACGACATCCGCGTTCGACACCCCTACTGTAGATTACATTTTTGGCGTTAAAAGAAAACTTTAATCAACACTTTCCGTTTATAGTTCTATGCCATGCAAGTTAGAACATTTTTTTAAAATATTTGGTCTTATATTATATCGGGTATGCGCCTTAATAAATTTTTCGTAAACGTTCGTGTGAATCTATTAATTTTTCACTGTTAAGGGTCTTCGAGAAAGTCCCCGAGCGGTCAAATAAACTTTCACTCAAGTGGATCCTTCGGTGTCGCATTATTTTGTTCGAAATTCTTATATATATATACTGTTTGTATTGTCACAATGGCCGTTAGTAAATTCTATTTTCAAATGTTCCGCAGCCAGCGCGCCGATCGGAGCCAGGATTTCGACTATCCGGTTTTATGACTTTGACTCGCGGACAATACCAACCATCATAAACCGTACCGTTGGGGGACACCTCAAAGTCGGCGTGGCCAAGCATAGACTTGGCGACCTTAATTACATAATCTTTCGGAGCGCACACCATGAAGGAGAGGTTTCCACCACCGCTCGTAGTGTATAAGTGGACATAACACCCCTTCTCTTTCAGGGAAGTATATTCGAATTCGGAAAAACTCGAAAATCGGAGTCGTAAATCAATCGTTGACAAGGTTGGCCGACACATTTTTTTGTAGATGGTTTAGTGGTCGAAACCATTGTCGCAACATTCATAAAAAAGCCGTTCAGTTGAACAGTTAAAATCATTTGTCAAACGAACATTCTTATAAGGGCATTCGTTCGAATCGATTTATAGGTATTTACATGGTCAATCAGCCGACACCATTGCGCAGTATCAGTTGAAGCTCATTCATAAAAGTTCAGTCGTTCGGAACTATCATCAATCGTTAAATTCGTACGATTATACAGTATCATTTTTCGTGATCAAGAACTAAACGCATCATTAACTTCATTGCGTTGAATCCAAGTGCCCTTTAACTAGGCCGGCACTACACCACGAGACAGCGCACATTTCCTCCAACACATATCATTCTATGGTTCTCAATCATACTCCTGAATGCAAATGAACGTAACACCTAGGGAGAACGTTCAGGACGTCTTCTGGCATCAGAGCGTTCACAACATTCATACTTTAGTTTATCAATTTCTAAAGTGAATTGACACTGACTAGCGACCATTAGAAAATTATTTTATTTCGTGCGAAATGTCTTTATTTAGTATTTAATGGTTAAAAGTAATAGACTACTGGTCAATAGAGGTCAGTAGTAATCAACATTGGTCATCACTGCTCAGTAATCGTTCATATTAACCAAGGATAGTGGTAGAAAGAGACTATTGCTAGCCAAGAAGGTTCAGGCCATCTTAAGGGTAGCTATTAATACACGACGAAGGAACAAAATCCTCATAATTCAGAAATTCGCAACTGGTTGTGAGCTTTCACTCCGCCTAGACTGTGACTATCAATTAGAGCTCCCCTCTCTCGGCTGCGTCATCGATGTTCGTCAATGTTCACGGTCACCGCTTTACGTCGCCATTGAAGGCATCTCCCCTGCTTGCAGAGGTTCTCAGGTACTTGCTACCGCTCCTCACTATTTGGCATTTTTCAACATCATTTGATGCAGCTTCGGATCGAAAATTGCACTAAATTGATATTGAACAGATTTGATGTATCTAATATATTATATTTATTGAAAAATTTGTTGCCTCGTGCTATTTAATAATTATAATAACTGCTTTCTCGTGGAATGTTATTAAGTACTCTAAGCTATTTTCTCATGTAAATTGTTATTTAACTTGTTAACTGTGAAATTTAATTTCAGAAATCTCTGATAATGCTCGCAATGAAATCAAGTAATGAAGTGTATACTCGTCTAACGCAGGCCAAATGCACATATGATATATTCTATCGAAAAGCTAAAGCAAAACGAAGATAAATTACATATTTATCTGAAGAAACAAATAATTTATCATTGAAAAAATTAGTATCATTTTGATTTTAAGGCAACGTGTGTACTCGTTGAACGCAGTTATTTGGTTAAATATAAGTGATGGCAATGAATATACTGAGAAATTTTTGAGGCATGAATGTGTCTCAAAGAATTTTTACATTAAATACATTCTATTTTATTGTAACAATTACCAGTTTATGGGCGATTATTAAACATTTCCTTGGCTGCTTTCATATGCAAATTGTTGTTACACATAGACGACAGAAATTAAAATACCAAAGTAATTTTTAAGGGATACCTATTTCGAAAAATATTGGCATGCGTTATTTCTAACATATTTGAGTACAACAATTATTTTTTCCTACGAATGTCAGACACTCTGTCGTACAGAAAAACTTAATATTGCAGCAAAAAATATACTTTTTATTTATTTGTTTGTATTTACTTATACTCCGTTGGTAACATTGATAACGACAGGAGAGTGGTAAGGGTTCACACAATTCCCGAAAAGCGTGACAAAAATTTATATTGATTGTCCAATCTATCTTTTCCACTGTCTGTGTTGTTGATTGAAATTTTTCTTATCGTTAGATGACGCCACCAAATAATTACCGAGAAAAATGTAGACTGCGTTGCTTTATATAGAACAATCATTATAATTTTCGGCGCATAATTTGAATATTTATTTATTGAATTAGTTAGGAACTATCACTTTTATAAGCGTTTGTCTTCTTAAAATTGTAAAAATTGTTAACCATTTAATAATTACGAACTATTACGGTTTAAATTTAAGTAATTATTTGTTTCTAGATTTTATGAAAATTATGAAATGAAATTTTTATTGTGTTTACAACTTTACTGCTTGTTGTTCAATTACAATCATTATTTCATAAATCATTTTCATTGTGAATTTAATGACTGTATACTTAAGAACAGTTAAGTGAAACAAGTGTAGTTTACAAGTGTATTTTTAATTTAATATAGTTCAATTGACATTCTTTACTTATACAATATTTCGTGTAACAACACATACAATTGAAGAAGAAAACTAGCAATGCATTCGTTTGTATCATTGTTTTTTCTTTAGTGTTACTTATGTAATTCTTCGACTAATAACATTACTTACTTCCTCGTTATTGACGACAATCAAGAGACTTAAAATTAAACGGTGACTATATGTATTTACACATTTAAATCAGTAATGAAGTACTGACTCAACATCGAGTGTTTTATTTAAAATAACCATAAAATGTAAAGATAATAAATAATTATTGAAAGGAAAGGAATAACGAGATTTTGATAGAATTATATTAATTAATTCCTTGACTATAAATTTCGTAATCTTTCTTGGAGTGTATTTTATTTCTAAGTGATGTATCCTTATTAATATATTTCAATACTGTAAATACTAATTGAAATAAGAAATAAAAATATTATATCATATAACCAAGGAATCTTAGACGGATTTGACAAAACTACTTAATTAATAAAAACAATATTAACAAATATGTTCATAACAAAATTAAGGAACAAAAAGCTTATTCAGCCTTGTATTATATAAACACTGATACCATCCAATAAATCTAGCCAATGAATGCGTTATTTCCGCCTGAATAATGTTGATACGATATTCTATTACTGTCGGCAATAACTAAAATTAGTGTTTATTCATAATGTTTCATACGACTTCAAAAAGGGTAATAAATCTATAAAAACTATTTCTTTTGTCATAATAAAATACATCGAATGTTATATTTTTCTTATACCTTATTTCTAATTGTATTTTAAAAGCTAAAATGGACTTAAAACAAAAACAATCTTATATTTGTTCAATATACTTAAAGTTCATTTGTCATTCAAATTAGTCTAAATTCCCTCCGCTGACAATGTTTAAATCAAAATGTAATTGTTCAATAAAGGATGAAATATTTACTATTTTAATTTGTGTATTCTTTAAATTTCATTAACAATTTTAAATCATAAAAATATTAATTTTAGCAATAAAATATAAATACTTAGAAAGCTACGTTTTGTGAATGTAATAAAACAATTTTCCGTGTATTCTATGTTTATTAATGAATTTAACATTCCAAATTTTTAAGAATACGAATAGAATAATTAAATTACGCTAGAAATTTATTTTCCCTATCAAAAATGATAAAAAACACAACATATACACTTTGAACATTTTATATACTCTTCGTATGCAAATATTCATTTCCAAATTACTGATAAATGCATAAAAATGCACAAACTAGTTTTTAGCCACTTTTCGAATCGTAATTTTCAATTTAGAAAATGTTTTTAAAATTGAAAGTATATTGCGTAATCAAAACAAGATCATAGGTTGCTGATATGAAAATATGGTACAAGCATTCCCATCTATAGTAATCGTATGGTCTATGGTGGTACAATGTCCGAACAGTTGGGTCAACAGGAAATATGGCGGCA